GATGTTCTTTTTATCATATGATGTTCTTTTTATCATATGATGTTCTTGGTGCTGTTTTGTCTTTTTACAGGTCTCATATGTTCCTCTACATTATTATTTTTCTAGCTAAACTGTGTAACCTGAGCGCCCTGAAGGTCAGCTCGTACACTCGGCCCTGCAACAACTAGTGAGAAAAGAACTGATCCTGCACTGAACAGCCCACACTTATAGATCACACATAAAGTGTTTAAAAGTAAATTATAAACATGATCTGGGTTTGTGTTGTGTTTGGTCATCAGTGCAGCTCGTCTCACTGTAGAGAGGTAAAAGAACATCGCTGAGAGGAATACATTGTTTTATGATGAGATAAATATGAGATTAATTTCAATGTGGTCGACTGTTCCTCTCAGGAACAAATAACAATATTAATAAACACAGAAAAAATGTGGCAGATTTTTCTCCAGAAGACGACACAAGGGTTCGGAACATTTGTCACTTTGATTTTTCCAACAGGTTGAGAAGTCCAGGCAGCAGATGTGAGCGTACGACTGAAGACTGAGCCGTCTGAAGACGTTCAGACGATGACTCGCTGAGTTTTCTACTCAACAGGCTGCACAACGTCCCTCTTACAGATCTGTCATCAGGAGAAGGCTTTCGAAGGCCGCACGCCTGTTTGACAGTTTGAAACTGTCGCTCCGGGACTCCCCTGGCTGAACTGAGTCATGGATGGTCTCCAGCTCCATCAGTTTATCTCCAGTCAAACGTCCAAGTGGTTCAAGTGCCGGTCAGTTATGAGAAATACTGAGTTAGTTCGTGAGTCTGCTGGAGGGAAAAACAAAAAGCTTCATTTGCTTCTGTCTCCGCTCACTCTCTGAAACACGTCAGCAATAAAGAGAACGATCACATTCCTCGTGTGACAGTTTGGGATTTTCCAATTTGCCACAGAGCGGTGCCTCGCACCTGTCCCTGCACACTCTCCGTTTCTTTCTCACACAAACACACGGCACGGTGGCTCCCAGCTCCTCGCCCAAACGGCGATCTAACCAAGACGCCATGATCGAATGCAAACACGTCTTCGCCCTGCTGCAGCTCCCAGACAGGAAGTAAAGGAGTTATGAAACGGTAGTTCAAAACAAACCGTCAGGAAGATGAGTGGCACAGAGTCTCCGTCAGGTCTCCTGAACTGTGAGTGGCAGTGATAAGAGCGGTTGAGAGCTAAAGCCAACAGCTTAAGTCCTCCATGTGTCAGGACTGAAGAGCAAAGCGTCAGCCGAAGGTAAATACTCCTTTGTTTGGCTGTTTGCTGCAATTTCAGGCCAAGACCTATCAGATGGCTCTAAATGAGACTAACGTTCAAGCTTTACTGGAGGCCACAGCACAGCAAGGTTATCAGATGGAGTTAAATATGCTCCGTTCAGCTGTGATGCCTTTAAACCCCCACCACCCAGCCCCGGGTGAAAACAGGAGTGGGCTGTCTGGGTTGATGGGAAGGATGAAGGGGATAGATGGTTGGCTGGTGGTGGGTTTAGCATTGGGGCCAAGGTCACGTCTGGGAAAGAGGAAGAAAAAGACAAAAAAAAAAAACCTGCCAGGATCCCTCACGACAAGTCCAGCACAGCTGCTGCAAACTGTCCAACGCAGCCGAGACAAAACAGAGAAATAAAAGGTGCAGCGATGCGTATTTCATTGTGTAGGTCTGGTTGGAAAGGCTGCAGTAATCTGTCAAAAGGTTTAACCTCCGCAAGAACAATGCAAGTCAACAGAGAGCATGGAGCTACGCCGGCGGAGGAGAGACGGGGAAGCAGGGAAGGAGGGTGTAAACTATGGGAAACAGACTCCACTTCCTGTTTTTCTTTCTGTATTGTTTCCTTCCCAGCTTGACCTGGACCAGGAGCGGCTGTACGTGTGAATGTGTCCGCCATAACGAGGAGAAGCGCGCCGACCTGGCTCTGAGATGTTCATTTGAAGCCAACTAATTAAAACCTAGTTGTAATACTTGTAAAGGTTATCAGACTGTGCACGGTTTTGATTTTGCCACAGCTCATAAATGATGATTTTCTTGCTCAACATCCATAAACTGGACAGATTCCTGCAGCTCGCACCTGTTTCTGCCAGGATTTCTCCTGCAGGGTCGATGAAAAACAAGAACTTTTACAAAAGTTCTGTAACTGGTCCATGCATTTGTTACGTCTAGACTGGACTATTGCAATGGTTTATTATCTGGGTGTCCAAATACTTCTTTAAAACGTCTTCAGTTGATCCAACATGCTGCTGCCAGAGTCTTAACTGGAGTTACTGGGAGAGATCATCTCTCTCCAGTTTTAGCTTCTCTCCATTGGCTCCCTGTCAAATCCAGAATAGAATTCAAAATCTTACTTCTAACCTACAAAGCTCTCAACAACCTAGCTCCATCTTATATTACAGATCTTATTGTTCCATATTTTACTAACAGAGCACATTGTAAACAGACTGCAGGTTTACTCGTGGTTCCTAGAGTTTCCAGCAGCAGAATGGGAGGAAGATCTTTCAGTTCTCAGGCTCCTCTCTTGTGGAACCAATTTCCAGTTTCTGTCCGTGAGGCTGACACATTGTCCAGTTTGAAGACTGGGATTAAGACTTTCATTTTTGATAAATCCTTTAGTTAAGGTTGGCTTGGGTTTCCTTAGCTATCCCCTAGTTCTGCTGCTACAGGCTTCCATCTCTGAGGGATTTGAATGATTTGTAATAATTTGTTTAAGAGATGAGTGTTTTTCTGGACTGGAACTGAGCAGAGGACGCCAGTAAACCTTGATGGTTTTGGCATTTTTCACGTTTATTTTTCTTGTCCAAGGCCGTGCACAGTGGTGGATCCTGGCAAGGGGAGGCAGTAATTTTATCCACCACCAGATGTGGAGCAAGTGGGTAGCCAATGGTTACCTTGGCCACACAGGTTAATCTTCAGCCACCCCAATCATTTAAGGAAACTAAATTTTTAAGCAATATAAAAACTAGAAACATAATTTTTTCAAATGATGCGGTGACCGGATTATATGGTGGTAGCCGTCTTGGATTTTTACCTGGCAACCCAATTTTTGAAAGGACCCTCTCTTACAGCTAGATGTAGCCACACACCAAAAAGGAAGTCTGTGTCTCCTTTTATTTCAATTGACCATGCTCACTACTTTTACGGACGAACAGACGGAGGGTGTTTCCAATTCCGCCTCTTCGCTCCACGTCGACAGACTGAAAACGAGGTAAAAGCATCAGAAGCTTTGGTTCTGTTGTGCAAGCACCCTTACTTTCAGTTCCACGATGCTCTTGTTGTCCTTGGATGTGAGCTTGGGGTCCTGGAACAGCGGGTCCTCCACATAGATCAGGTCCCATTGACTTGTTTTGTAGCCATCCAGGACAAACTCCACCTTGGTGACCACCGGTGGTTGGAGAGTCAGTTTGGCCAGAGAAGGAGTGGTGCACTGGATGGAGGTCTGGTTTTCACCGTACACACAACTCTGAGGACGAGTCACATGTGACACAAAAACAAGCACTGGTTAGAAAAGTTAAACTCTTGACTGTAAGCAAGAGAACACAAAAATATAAAAGAAACATGAAGACATTTGACGATTTAACAGTCAGAAAATCCAACATCCGTCAACTTTCTTTCAGAAATTTGGACAAACTTTTGTCGTAATCTACGTCGACAACACCCTGATGTTTTGATGAGTGAACTGTGTGAGGAGTGTAAAAAATAAATGTCAAAGCTGCTGCTGGAAGCACATCCGGGTCACCACAGTATCCAGGTAAAAACTGATTCAAAAAATAAAACATTCATGGAAAGTCCAATTCTCTCTGACCCGTTTAAACTCGGAATGAAGTTTCTGCTGTGGAGTCTGAGCAGCCGAGCTCTAAAAAGAGTCGGGCTCCTCACGTTTCACTAGAACATCATTGCGCTTGAAGATTTTTATTTTTTTTTACCGCTTGGATCCGGTAACTCTCAGGCAAAGTGATGAACAAATAAAACTTATATTAATTATGTAAACTGAAAATAATTACATACACTAATTTTACACACAAGTGCCACGAGCTTCTTAATATCACGATCATCTGCCCCTCAAGTAAAACATTTCCGCTGCTTCTACCCTTGAAATCTCCGTCCCTACAAGTCCGAAGTCATCGTGCATTTTTATTAAAAACCTCAAAAATATAATTAAACAGCACAACTAAATCGCAAATCAGTTGGACAGTTTAAGTGGGTCATTAATAATTTTTTTATTATTTATTAAAAATACAATGAGAGAAATGTTTGATGTGTATTATTCACATCACGTATCAAAACAACGGTGCTAATTTGTCAAGATAACAGCGATGAAATGTTGAAAAAACAGTTCAGTTACTGTCATTTTAAAAATACTCCTCGTCGTTGGACAACTGAGAGTTGAAGCACCTGAAGGTCGTGGCAATGGAGACTGGAGCAGGAGCGAGCGAGCGGTGGGGTGAGAGCCGAGCTAGCAGGCAGGTGTACGCAGACAGGATGAGGAGGAGAGAGCTGTTGTTGTTGTTGTTGTTGTTGTTGTTGTTGCTCTAATAGTTACTGAATCAAGTGTTTACAAATGGAGGTTAAAGCAGATGTTTAACAACCTGTTAAAATACATCAGAACGCAGGAAATGGCATCTACTTTGTTCAAAAATTTCAGGGGGAGGACCCCCAGACACACACACACCAACCCCCCACATTACAAAATAATGGCCCCTGTGTTGTTCAAGCCAAGAGCCCCTGTCAGCAGGGGCTAAGGCCCCTAAAGGTCAGATCCTAGACTCGGCCCTGCTAACCAACTAGTGAGATAAGAAATGATCCTGCGCTGAACGGCCCACACTTACGGGTCACACACAAAGTGTTGAAGAGTGAATTATAAATATGAAGTGGTTTTGTGTTGTGTTCAGGTGTCGGTGAACCCTGGTCCTCCTCCATCAGGTGAACACCTAGTTCTGGATGTCAACAACAAACTTGACCCACTGTGAGAATGTATTTATAAGACTGAGTTTGTTGCAGCTCCTCAGACTGAAGAAGTTCTTTGGATTAAAGATGAAACCTTTCTACAATTTTATATCTTTTGAACCCGTCCAGAGGACCTGCCTTCACGTTTTTAGACTTCTGGGTTAAATTACATGAAACAAAGCTAGCCTGCTAACCTTTGTTAAAATATTAACATTAATTTCTGAAACTTAATGTTTAGAAGAGTGAAAGATTTGAATAAAGTAGAGAAGAAGAAGCCGTGGTCCGTTACTGAGCTGAACTTCTGCATGTCTGCTGGGGAACAGGCTGGAAACAAACGTTCAGTCAGAAAGAGCTTTTCATTGAAGTCAATACAACATCTGCATTTGTTTCCTTGTGGTGTTCAGCATGGTTAAACTATATATAGTAGACCTCAGCTGGAGGGTGGAACACATTCACAGCTGCTTAGAAACAGTTTGCATAAGTAAAGATTAGAGTCTTCAGAAACGACCGTTTGAAGTTTAATAAAATGTCCAATGTGGCTCGTTTATCTTGGTTACATATATTACAGTGTTCAGAACGTGGGAGGAGATCTCGAACAACTCGCATGTGGCTTCCTCAGGTCTCTGCGACAAACAGACAGAATAAACACGCTTCAAGACATCATCGGTTGGTCCTGACGTGTTCAAACTTAAAACGTCTCCATCTTGAACTTTTGGAAACTAGAGCTGACTGCATCCGGGCGAGAAGGAAGTGACCCCTAAATTATTATTCTGAGCATTTTCAAATGGGGTTTGTAGGTTTTAAAGATAACATCGACCTAGTTGCAGATAGCTAATTGAATGATTTCTGTTTTATCTGATACGTCTGAACACAACTAAGACCACAGAGGATGGATCCCGTCTTGAAACAAATCCAGGGATTCTGTGAATGCCATTATTTCCATTTCTATATTGCTTTCTTTTTCACATAACATCGTTATTCTGGCATAAATGTGAAATTCCTGCCAGAATAAACCCCAGTTTGCCGCAGAAGTGTTACAGCTAGCTGCCGCTGCAGTTTACGCTCACAACAAACCACAAAACTCAATGAAAACCAAGCGGTGCGCCGATGTCCGCCCGACACTAAGGGATTTGAATCGTGCAGGTTGGTAGTTTTCAAGATAAGTGTTATTCACTCCTTAAAGACTTATCTCCATCCACTCCATCCATATCTACACTCCCTGTTTTCCTGGACAGTGGACACCAAGTCCTTGAAGTCCTGCACGTTTGTGCCTGCTCCTTGTAGCCTCACTGTTCCACCTCCTCCCATGACGTTCCAAATATCAAACAAACAGTAAGGTACTCTTGTGCACTTATGTCCAGCACGTTACTTCACTTCATCTTGTGAGAATATCTAGTCAGTCCCAGGTTAGTAGGATGTGGCACCCCTTTGGGACTGGAGACAAGTGGTGATTTGGTGCTGGACAAAGTTATTCAGCTGTTATATCCTCTACAGCAACAAATCAGCTCTCAGCTGTTGGAACTGATCATCCAGATCCAGTCCATCAGCACAGGGTCGGTGTTGACATCTGAACTGTTTCGCTACATGTTTGAGAGGAACCTCAAGATGATGCAAGAAATACAAAGACGCACGGCATGTGTGTGGACGGGTACGGTCGTGGTGAAATCTTGTGAAAGGGTGCGTCACGTTCAATCACTTCTTGAGATCACCTGAATTCGTAGCCTTCAGCCCTGCGTCATGCCAGCATATCTCTTCCCAACGACGGCGACGTTGGTCTCCTCCTCTTTGTGCAGCCATATGTGCACACAATGGTCATCTGTGGTGTGCACGGTGACATGGGATGGTGCAAATGTCCAAGACCTGTGTCCAGATGGCAGGTGCATGTGTCATGGGGTTAGTGCTTGTTCCACAAAACAACAAACCTTTTTTGTTCTTTGGTCTTCCTTGGATAACTAGACTCTTCACACCATGTGTGTGAGTATCCTAATGTACCCAGTGGTTCCAGCAACAAACCACTGCAACATCTGTACACCCCACAAGCTGTGCACATACACTAGACAACCACTACTCCTCACGCAAACCCACAATGTGACCCGTGTCAAAACGTGTGAAGTGCTGTGCATCTACAAGGTATCTTCTGTGTCTGCCGACCTTCACTCAGTTCATCAAGTGGGGGTCAGGCACTCCAGCTGACTGCCATTTACAGTTTTTCTCTTACAGTCCACGTGCACTGTAACAATTTCCACATAGTTCTCCTTTTGTGTAACGACACAGAGCAGGAGTTCTGCACACACTGATCCCAGACCCAGACTGGCTGCGATCTGACTTCCAGCCCTGTGATCTGTGTCTCACTCCCTGGAGGGTCGCACCGGCTGCAGCAGCGGTGGCTCCGTCCAAGTGAGGCTGAAACCTCCTCAACCATTGGGCAGTGAGCCGTCGCAGCCAGAAGGTCACACACAAACTCAACCTGTAAGTTAGCCACATCTGCAAAAGCTGAAATACAAAGATGGCAACACGTTCCAATCCTCAACATACAGCTATGTTAAATATGTGTGTGTGTGTAAGGGTAGCACTGAGGCACCTAACAGTGATCCAGTTAACCCTCCTACGCACAGCAAAACAGAATATTTAGAACTTCATTGTACAGAAACCTCCTTGTCTGTACCCCCCCCCCCCCCCCCCACTGCCCACAGCACCTTTAATGCATCCAGCAAAAGGAAAGCTATCCGATGAATTAGAGGAAACTTCAGTCAGTTTCATTGTTCAGTCAACGTCTCCGCCGTTTTAAGGAGAGGAGGTGAGGAGCTAAAGGTTGGGAGCAGCTGTCACTACAACCGCTGGGCGAGTGGGGCCTCCAGCAGGCGGGCCGAGATACGATGAGGAAAGCCTCCGTTCATCCACGAGGAAGCTGCACAGGCGCGCAGGGTGAACATGCAACTCCACCAAGGCCCCAGGCCGGGAGGCGATTCTGAGAGGCTACTGCTCTAACCACTGCTCCTCCGCACCGCCCATGAGATTAGCAGCCATCCCCAAAGGATCATTAGTGGCTACAGCCTGCGAAAAGGCCAAGTCATAACAGAAGTGCTTTAGAGAGATTTACACCAAAGCAGTTTTACTCTGTGTCATGCCACTCATGTTGGTGCGATGAATGAAGGCTCCTTGGTCAACTTTATTTGCTTCTTTTGATTGACAATTGTTGAGGAGGGTTCTGAATGTGTGAAAACTTCTGCACTGACGATGTATCCACGATGTGACGGGGTGAAGCAGTTGAAGCAGGACCGGCCATGTTGGCCTCATGCCCAGGTAACAACCACGACTGTGACGAAGTCATGGACGCAACAGAAGTCCGGACACGGCCAGAGGTGCCGTGTCCGGACACAGCAGGGTCAGGAGACACACAAAATGTTAGACATCATATCTGACAAGTATTAACGAGTCTAATCACCTGCCACGCAGAGCAAACTTGAAGCTATCGTGTCCGTGAATTGTTTCCAAGACAGCCAGGTCGTCCGGGGG